TACTAACCCTGTCTCCATCGTACTCGAATGCAATTTGTGTTGGTCGTGATGACAAGGAGTCTTCTACTTGCGTCCCTTTCGTGCTCTTTATGAATTTGATAGGTGTTCCATTTGCTGAAGTGGATTTAATCTACTCCAATCAAAGACAGGAGGGATTCTCCTTCGATCCCTTCTTGAACTCATGTAACGGCAGATGAGTTCGGTACTTTACGAGTGGGCGAAAAGAAGTAGATGAAATGTGATGTTAGATATGCTTACGTGCGCCAGGCATAACGACGAAACCATTTCTAATATAAATACTGAGAAGGTCCACATCATCACACTGGTAGTTCCTCCTGTTCGCGCCATCTTCCCCTCTTGTACAAATTTTTATCCTAAAAATGATGATATGCGCGATGTGAGATGCATATAAATTCCCTAGCACTACATGAGTTAGTATTCGACAGTGCTGTACTCGCAATGACCCCCAAGCGAGCGACAACAGTCTATTGAAGGCTTTTTTCTCACTTGGTAAAAAATTTCATCGAATGAAGCTTCAGTGTCCTCTGAATCCAACAGTTACCTCTTCCTGACCTTGGCTGGGTAGTAGAAATCTTGCCACACCTATCACTTGGAAAAACTTGATTGCAGGATGGGTGGGACAGTCTTCTTGGATTTATAGTGCGAACAAACTACTGCTGCTTCTTTCCAAGAGGACATCACTAGCAAAGTAAACTCAGTCCGGTCCTCCGGCAGCCAAGATTCCTTTTCTGCATGTACTACATATCAGGAAGCAGGAAGCAGAAGGGGCAGCCATTCATCTTCCGAGCTCGGATAATCAGCGCAAGGCTCGTTTGGAAGGATAAAAACTTCGACTGACGGCTGACTACTGCAAGTCACTAGACCACATACGCATTTGAACCGTCACTGCTGTTCTGAATGTGAGTTGAATGCAGGGGGGGGGGGGGGGGGGGNCTTAATCTCTTTCTTTGAGGGTAGCTCTAATTCTGGACATGTACGAAATTCATTCCTAGGCTATCCTAACCTTTGACAACTCACCAATCGCAAATAGCGCCTTCTATGAAGAATTTTGAGTATATTAATACGTTAGCCGCCATTTTATAGTAGAAAAGTTGGCCTACGTCGCATCTAAAACTCAGAAGTTGGGATATACAATGATCAACAAACGTCCTCACCATTTTCAGCTTCTCAAGAGCGCTTCCACTAAATTTCGTTGAATAATTAACTTTAACCATCTAAGGTTTGGTGAGTTTGTTCTGCTGGCCTATCTGGTTCGTAGCATTTCACTAGTCTAGACCGTAAGTAGACTTCAATACCGCTTTTAAACGTTTTGGCTTCACCGAAGCAAAGGAAACCGCAGCGCAAGCTGAGAAGGCCTACCAAATCTTGCGTCGCCCCAACTAGCAGATGTTACTGTAACTACTTACTCTGCATTACACCTGATATGACTCAAAGGCCTCGTTCCTTTATGAAGATCACCTCCAAAGCTTATAGTGTTACCCATCCGGTGTCGGCGCTGAAAGCAAAGCAAAGTATGAGCATCCGTTGCTTTTGGAAAGTTAGGTTATAAGGCAAAGGTAAAACGAAAAGAGCATTTTTTTGCTTAGCGGGGTTTACTGTAGGTAAAGATCATGGATTAAGGTAGGTATTCCCTTCAAAGAAGTACAATATAACGATTATCGTTGATTCATCTCCCTGGTCCGTTAAACATAACCAACGTCTATCAGAATTCGCAACTTTAATAGGAATACGCCGTGCTCACTAAGCCGAGGAATGTTCGGGCTAACTTTCCCCACCCAAATATATGGTGACCCTGAGCCAGACCCATTCAAAGAAGGAACCAAAGCCAGCCTTGGTCAACTCCCTTTATGGCTTAAAATCTGTGCTTTTTCGGAGGGGAAACAAAATATGCGCGTGTTCTACATGTGGTAGGGCTTGTGCCGTCGTTGTATCCCTTCAAAAATTTCAAAAAAAGAAAGTAAAAAAGGGGCGTCAAAGCTTAACGTACACGTTTAGTATAAAATGTGGGTTGTAAATAAAATCCAGGATAATCTGCGAGAATGGCTCTTAATTTCTTGCTTTTGTTTTGAAATCTGAACAAATATTGTCGTAAATGTTGCATGAATTTATCCGGATCCTATTTTTCTTACGAGGAGAGCTCGAAAAGTTATTTTTAGACAAGGTAAGAAAAAAAGTGATCATTTCGAAGTTATTATTTCGAGTTTTGAATCTTTACAATGCAGATTCAAGACTCCATGAAAGTAGTTCACACCTGTGCTTCATTTTATGTTCCTTGGTAAATACCATCATGCATCGTGGGTCATTTGTGAATACAATTTCTCCTTTGGATACCTTGAACCTTGATATTTAGTTGTACTTAAAGGCACTGTTCGCGATGATTCAATGGGCGGGTGTGTCGATGACGTGTCCGCCTCTCATTCGA